GTTACAAATTGTACCATTACAGGTAGCGCACTGTAATGATCAGTTCTTCTCATTCACTTACGTAATGCTCGAATCTGAATTGTTACAATACAGGCGAATGCTCCTTGTGAGAGACCGCCCTTAACTTATTATAATTTTTTTCATTAATTTGTTACTTTGTAATTTAATTATTTTAAAATTAATTAATATAACTGATGTTATAGTGCATGTTGTGATAACCTGTAATTAAAACAATATTATCTAATTATTAGCATATGAGTACCATACTATATTAATGTATCTTTTGTTGGTTATCCCTTAATAAATAAATAAAACAAAATTTTCTATTTAAACGTGACTGAATAAGAATAATTAAAACAATCTCGATTATTACTTATAAAATATAAGCACTCTACAATAGTATCTCATATAAGATGGGCATTTTGTAGTTAGTACCTAAATAAAAATTACATCCATATTAATTTGACGCCCAAACACAAATGCAGAATCTATAGTTTGAAGAGAAATATTAAAAAATAATAATGTAATTATTCAATTTTTCCATAAATTATTTTGCATCGATTAATTAAAGTCTAGCAAATCTTCAAAATCACTTGTAGTTGTAGTCAAACTACCATCAGCTTATTTATAATAATGAAGCTATCTCAATCTATCTTCTTACCAAATTTCGTCTAAATCGGTACGTTAAATCCAGAGATTACCCTCTACAACGTCACAAACTCACAAACTTTACCTCTTTATAATATTAGTGTAGAAGAAGGCTTCTTAAACAATCTCAAGAAACAAAATCAAAATTAGCAGTACATTTATAATTAAACTAAGAAAATCGTGAGTAAAAGCGTAATACTAAATAATGGTATTAGAACTAATAGCCAGGCAACGGACGTGATGATATGTAGGTTTTAGTAAATTAATGATCTGTATGATGATGCGACACAATATATCAAGCTTTGTGTTTACCTCTTTGTGCTTAACGATAGTAATTATGTCATAAACTAGTGGTTTTGCTAGTGTATAACTCACGCTTATTTTGCTAGGTTATACCCAAATTATTATTTTATTATAGTATGATAGTGATCCGCCCCGGTTTCGCTTAGGTGCTTTTTAATATGAAAATTACTTCTATAGAACTTTAAATTATGCACATAAAAATGCCGGAGTTTTTAATGATTATAGTTAGTATTAGGATTTGCTCGAATTTTTTTTTTTATATTCATTCTTATCGTCATAGGCATGGGTTTTTTATAATCAATTAGGTTTTCTACCTACAGGTGGTAAATACTCCAAAAATGGTAAATAATCATACGACCAGGCTGATGACCGTATGTTCGAAATAGTGTCCCTAGCCTACATATGCTCTTTCAATGTACAAAGTCGCTGTTTTTGCGCTTTTTGCTTCTTTTTTTGCATAAAAAGACTGGAAAGCGACTTTTTTTAATGTGCAAATCTTCCTCAAGAAAAGAGAGCTCTTAACCAATTCTCATAAAAAGTGGTTCAGTCATAAATATCTATAAAAATAACGACTCTAATAGTCACTATATTATTTATTATCAAACGTGAAGATAATTATTTTTGCAAATACACAATAACACTACAAATTTAATATCCGTCGTGCTATTCCGTAAGAACTTTTTTGTAATTTGTTACTTGATTTATCTAATCAGCAAACAACAATTGTATGAATTATAATCAAAGAAGCTGTTAGCATGAAAGTTGTTACAGAATAGCACTACAGGATTGAATAAATTCTGGCGTTGTGTCTTTCGTGCTGGAGAGTTATCGTAAAAATATATTTTTTAAACTAGAACAAAAATTATTTAATTTTATCCAGTAATTAGCCTTATATGATGTCCTCATGACAGATTTTGGTAACGGCCGCCAATCTCACTGAGACTAGTAAACTGGACAGGTAATATTGTAGTGCCCAAATGTGCGCATAAACAAAAGTGCACTCTCTATTCATTTTACTTTCAGAAGCCCGATCGAACGATATTTCGAAACGAGCGAATTGTAGGACCGATTGCTTTACGTGCTCTGCGGGGAGTGTAATACCGCTAACTTTCCAACTACGGGTCACTACTATAAATATATTAACAGAAAACTCAGTAAATAAACTTTGCCCAACCTGGGACTCTAACCCTGGTCCTCCAGATTTGGATCTGTACATATCTATCAATAGACCATCGCTCATATTATTAGCCTTACATATATAAACTGGCGACTCACCCTCGCTTCGCTCGGGTTCGTCCCTAGGTACGTTTTGACGGTTAGTATGAAATACCAATCTTTGAATTTCTCGGCTTTTCTGTACTATAATATGCATGTATTATACATATAAATCTTCCTCTTGAATAACTCTATCTATTAAAAAAACCACATCAAAACCCATCGCATATTTTCAAAAATCTAAGCATACATAGGGACAGACAGACAGCGGGAAGCGACTTTGTTTTATAATATGTAGTAATGATAAAATATGATAGACGAAAAATTTATTTCATTGTAAATTCGGTGCCAATCAATTCCGCCACCGTAACTACAACATTTTGACATCTATGTCATCATGAGATTAATATTTTATAATTAGTATTTCCACAGGTTATAATTTATTAAAGCATATTATACGGATTATAAAATAAAGCGAAATTCGTTGTACATACTACGATATAGAGAACATCGTATTCATTTTTACTTCGTTATATAGCGTGAATTTAAACAAACTGAACAGCATCTGGTAAACTATTTTCGAGATGTCATTCTCAATATTTCTATAATATGACATGTAATGGACGTATTGATTTTCAAATCTTTTTAATCTTTGTGAGATAATTACTAAAGTAGAAATTATATACGGTTAGAGAGATGGGTTAAGCTATGTAAGCTTTTTTTTAATTATTCTATTAGCGACTTACTATCGCTCTGGTCGGTCTGAGTGTGAATAATTCTGTAATACATTGTTTTTATAATAGATTTTTTATAATTGATTCTATAACATAAATTCGAATCTTGAGTAATTTTTATGGATATTCGATTTTCGCGCTGGAACCCTGTATCAGTGGAAATTAGCGTATTCATTTCATGAATAAAAGAAGAAAAAGGATGGAAGAGAAGGATGTATTTAATACTATTATGCTAAAACAACAATAGTATCTTCAAAGACAAAAGGGTAATCAAGGCTTCCTAACTTGGACTTGTCCGTTATAGATTAGGGGACCCTACCCTTTAGAGACAAATATCGTATGAGCAACGAAACGGGTATACACTACAAATACCTACGGTTATAAATCATCTTGGCTAATTTAGTACTGCGGTTTCGCTCTCGTAGTAAACAGTATAGAGTAATACTAGGTTTTACATCTTTCGCACAAGGAAGGTATTTTTAATGAATTATTATTATTATACAACTGCAACAAATGAATTATTATTATTATTATACAACGAACTGCCTCGGTGGTGTAGTGGCTAGCATGTACGGCTGCACACCCGGAGGTCCTGGATTCGAGTCCCGGGTCGGGCCAAGTATAGTTATTGAGTCTTTCTGTATAGTAAGCCTCAGTAACAGCCCGGAGTTGGGAAGTTGGCGGTATTTCACCTCCGTGCCTCGGAGAGCACGTAAAGCCGTCGGTCCTGCGCCTTAACTCTCACCGGTCGTGTCGAGTGGTCGTCCCACCGGAGTATGAGAGTGATAGGAATAGAGAGTGCACGTTGTGTCTGCGCGTACACTTGTGCACTATAATATCTCCTGCGCAGTTGGCTAGTCTCGATGAGATTGGCCGCCTTCGCCGGAATCGGTCAGGAAAACATAATTATTATACAATATGTCTCTTACCTTTATCCTCTATATATATAAAAACTATTCGATTTAAGAACATGTTAAATGTGGGCGGTTAATTGAAATAATTTTTAAAACTATATTTTATTAGACTTTCGAGTTTGCTAAATAACTTGTGTTAGTAAAGAATTACCAAACAGTGTCAAGTTTCGTTCTAAGCCAACAGTCAAACAATCTGGTAAGTTTAGAAGTTTGTTCAAAAACATGATTTAACTTTGTAAACAATCAACGATTTGCAAAATCGTAATTTACTTAGAAAATCGAAATATAAGAACTTTTGAACATAAATATTTAATGAAAAGACTATTTGGCTTCGCCAGTAGTCTCAATATTTAGCAAGTATTTACTTTTCCAATCAATTATTAAAATATTTTATCACTGACTGATTCTGTATTTTTGACATAATATATCTGTAGAATGTAAAATATACATCTACCTATAACTTATAAGGACTTACCGGTTCAGTCAGCCTCCTTATATCAAGCAACTCCTTAAAACTCCAAGTAGAAATCCAACTCGTCTCCATTGTCAACAAGATTGCTAAATAAATTGACATTGTGATTCCACGGAGAAATGCAGCTAATGCTCGTATATGTACTTGCAACCGTTCATTTAAAAATGCCTTGCACAGTAATTACTCGTATAGTGTACATTTGTTTTCTACAATTACATGTCTAAGTATAAAGTTAGAATCTTTGGATTTGTTTTTTTTATTTCTAAGTGCAAACAACTACTGTGTAAGTACCTAACTATACCAGCAAAGATGTTGCCGATTTTGATTGCCAATGTTCCATTAATCATTATTCACTTCTAGCTTACTTTTTATTTTAATTGCTTTCTCCTTTTGTGATCATATATTGTGTGAGAACCTAAGTGAATCCTCATATTGGAGTACTTATTTGTTTTAGTTAGCAAGTATTTCTTGATCAACTAAAACTTCATGTAATAAACCCTCTAGACAATGTTATCTAAAGGGTTTGTTACGTGAAGTAACGCTTATTTTTAGCATTTGTGTTTCTACAAAATTAATAGGATAATTTAAAATAAGATATAATTTGAGATCGTTTCATAGTTTTTATTAAAACGTAATCCTATGGTCATTTTTACTTTCAATAATCTTCATTTCAAAGCGATTTCATGTTTTCTTTTCTTCCCAGTCAAATTTTCACAAGCGTGACTGCAACAAAATAAGCACAAATTAAGTAAAATAACGTAAAGCCAAGTAAATATAAAATATTTAACTAAAGAGTTGCACTTTAGAAGTCAAATAATAATGATAAAGTAGGAAATTTTGTTTTTGTGTTTATAAAACCAGAAAAAACTCTGACGCAATATGTCGTATCAGCTATTTTACAACTGTGTCAAGAGTCTTATTTTATTCAGTCTGAGATAGGTAAAATCGATCAATTCAACACTATATATAATAGCCCCATATTATTGTAATTTATTCTAAAAAGACCATATATCTGGGTAAAGTTCTAAATTATAATTAAATCTTAGGAATATTAATATTTTTTTTATATTGTTATTTTTTTTATTTTGTTAGTCTAAAAAATAGCTTACATGAGTTCCTCTATGGATAGCTAGAACCATGTCATATTCATTGGCTCCAAGGGTAATCCTAGCGCGTCCATCAGAACCAACTGTAATAGTCTTTCCGGTACAGGCGTTATTCCTCTTTTCGCCGGAAATAACGTCACAGTATCTTCCAGCAGGAAGGCATGTCTGAAAATAATATAAAATTATTTTTTTATTATTATATATTTACATTTACAAAACGTAACGAAAGGGATGCCCGTGCCCAGCAACAGGACGTTAAAAAGAGCTGAACACATACACAGCTGCACACTGGGAAGTTATCAAATCATGATTTCTTTAGTAAGACACTAACTTAATCTAGGCTACTCATTTTGATTTTAATATTACCTGCAAGTCCTGATTCAAGTCCCAATTATCGTTATTGAAGGCAACAAATCCTTGGCCACCTCGGCAGAACGCGATCTGGTTGCTGCCATTGTCCCACCAGTTATTCACTGCAGTGGTTCCTGCTACATTACGGAAATCTACCATAGAATAAATTTGACGCCATCTATGTTCGCATATCCATCCATTTCCGCATGAGTTGTCCTGTCAAAGAAATATTTAATGGACTAAGATCCCACTGCAAGATTGCTAAGTTGATAGCGTATTTAATCAAAATCATTTTTTTTTATATACAATAATAAAAGGGACAATATGTTTTGACCGGGGTGCCTATTCAAATGTGCCCGCTTGTATGTTTAATTAAATAAATAATAATTGACTTTTTCGAACAAAATATCGATTTTGTATTGAATTGTTATTAAAATGAATCCTCCACTTCACAAAAATATAAGTAGAGAATTTGAAAAGTGATAGCTGCCGTTGCGCATTTGGCCGCAACCTCTTCGCAGCCAGGTGTAAGTAAGTCATATTTTGTTATTCTTATTAAGTCTTAAATGAAGTACATTAAGATGTAATCTATACATATAATAAAATTGTAACTAAGTCGAATCTGTACATTAAATATTTTTTGGAAAATCTAATTGAAATAGACATTATTATCGATACAGAGTCCGAATCTATAGTTTTTAGAATTTTTGTTTGTCGGTCTGTTACCAACTCGGCAACGCTTTGGTATTGGCAAGTGCTGGACACGCAATGGGTATATCCATATAATTGCTTCTGATGGTTCTCGGCATCGTGCAGAATGCAAACTGGATCTCAACTCAATTTCTTCCAATCAGACTAAATCTCCGACGCAAATTCCAGTTGCAAGTAAGAATACGGATAAAGTGATAGTTTCACGCGTTAAACGTGTAGTAAAAAAATAATTTGTGTTACTTTTTCTATTTTCTATGCAAAAAGTTATTGTTATTCCTTTTAATATTCAAAACAGTTCAGTTCTTTATTTCATATTATGTTTCTTGTTTGTTTATTTTTTGTTATGATTAGGTTGTCATTACTGGATTTCATAGATTAAAACATAAATTGTCAATAGACAACCAACCTCTGTACTGTTTGTATTGTCTATGTAATTAGTGTCTATGGTTGCATAATTTGTTTACTTTCATATTTAATGTTACACTTGTTTAATTCGTTGTTTAATGTTACTTTTAATTAATTTAATATTTTGCTTTTAGATTTATTATTTATTTGTGGATTGCATTATCTTCCTGTGTTGTGTTCGAACTTTTGTTTATGAAGTTATTTTCCTTCTTCTCTTGCAACTGGTGGGTAAGTAGGTTTAAAAAGTATACTTACGCATTATTACATTACATATCTTTTTACATATTATTATATACAAATTTTAGTATTATCTTTTTATATATAAATATTAAAAAATATATCTTTATTAATATTTTTTATTTTATTGTATTTTTTTTTCTTTAGTTTTTTTTGTGTATTTTATATATTTGTTTGTACGTATTTATTTATTTATATTTTATAATATATTTACAGTCTATTATTACTTTATTTTGCATACATAATGTATGGAGATAATAGCTTGAACGATTCTTTTCTATCACTTTCCTCTAACTCTGAAAGTCCCAGCAGCAATGACAGCTTTTGTAGTATCCCCGCCCTTAATGATACACTTGATTCGCATTTCTCAGATGCTCTGAAAACTTTTAACTTAATTCATATTAATGCACAGAGTATTCCAGCACACTATCCTGATATGTTATCTAGTTTTGACAATAAAAATATTCACGCTATCCTAGTTTCCGAATCGTGGCTTAAGCCGTGTCTACCGTCAACTTCTTACGGACTCCCAGGATTTCATTTGATTAGAAATGATCGTATTGGAAGATGTGGTGGTGGTGTAGCCATATATCTGCGTTCCCATATTCCCTTTTCCATAATTGACTTGTCTCAATCACACGGCAACGCAGAGGCTGAACACATGTTTATTGAAATTATTTTCTCAAATGCTAAAATACTCCTGGGTGTGTACTACAACCCTAGTTTAACAATTGATTATTTCTCTTCATTTGAAATCCTGTTAGACAAGTATAGACCTCTTTACGACCATACTCTGTTGATGGGAGATTTTAATACGTGTCTCTTAAAGAATGACAACCGGGCAAGCCGCCTTCGTGATGTAGTAGATGGAGCCAATTTAAATATACTTCCATTACGTCCTACTCATAAGTTTCCAAATTGCTGTCCCTCGCTCCTTGACCTAATTATCGTTTCTTCCACTGACCACGTAATTAAACACGGTCAGTGCTCTGCTCCAGAGTTTTCGTATCATGACCTTCTCTACCTATCTTATAAACTAAAGCCGCCAAAAGCAAAATCAAGAGTTCTTCTGCAGCGCAATTTTGCTAGTATGGATGTAGAACGCCTACGAGAAGACGCTGAACGGATTGACTGGTCGGTTGTTTTAAAAGCAAAGACCATTGATGAACAATTGTCCATATTCACGTCACTTTTAACTGGACTTTACGATATTCATGCTCCTGTTCGACCTGTCCGAATGAAGCATCTCCCGGCTCCTTGGCTTACCCCAGAGATTAAAAAACTGCAGGTGAAAAAGTACATGGCTAAATCGAAGTTTGCAGCAAATCCTAGTGATAACAATAAAAGGAAATACATCAAGGCCCGTAATCGTTGCAATATGGTGTGTAGAGATAGTCAACGACGCCATATCCATAAATCTGTAATCGACGAAGATGATTCAGAAAAAATCTGGAATTTTCTTAAATCTATTGGAGTAGGAAAGGCACAACAGTGTATCAATCCCCTTAATATCGACTTAAATTTGTTAAATCAGCATTTCTCACTTTCTGGTACTATAGATAGTACAAACAAATTAAATACAATTAATCAACTTTCACTTTTACCTACTCCTGATATTCCATATTTTTCATTTAGTCAATTTTCCATTAGTGATGTTAAGAGAAATATTTTAACTATAAAATCTAACGCGGTGGGCGCGGACAGCATTAGTCGTAAAATGATTGTTCCTGTTCTTGACTTAATAGCTCCTACAATTACATCAATTTTAAATTCCTCCTTACTTTCCCATAAGTTTCCTACTGCCTGGAAAGATGGTCAAGTAATTCCCATTCCAAAAAAGTCTAATCCATCTTCTTTTGCTGACTACCGTCCTATATCCATTCTCCCTTTCCTATCGAAAGTACTGGAGCGTCTTGTGCATCGACAGTTAAGCACGTTTCTTTTTAATCATAATCTTTTAAACTCCTTTCAATCCGGTTTCCGCATCGGTCATAGTACGACTACTGCATTGGTCAAAATCGCTGATGATATTAGAGAGGGTATGGACAGTCAGAAGGTTACCGTGATGGTACTATTAGACTTCAGTAATGCCTTTAACACTGTTGATTTTGATATACTAATTGCCATATTAACTTCTCTTAACATATCTCCTGAGGTGATTGACTGGTTTCGTAGTTACTTGTGTGGCCGCCGGCAGCGTATACGAATTGAGGATTCCTTTTCTGATTGGAATACGATTAATGCCGGTGTCCCACAAGGTGGCGTGTTGTCTCCTCTCCTGTTTTCAATTTTCATTAATTCTATTTGCCATCAAATTTCTTCTCTCTACCACCTATATGCCGACGACCTACAAATTTACGCAACCACATCTCTATCAGACTTACCTCATACAGTTAATTTAATTAATAATGATCTTGCCAGAATCTCTGCTTGGAGTAAATCATATGGCCTTGATATTAACCCTATTAAATCGCAAGCTATTATAATAGGCAGCCAGAAACTGCATTCTAAAATTACTCGGTCATTGATACCATCGGTGATGTTAAATGATGTTGAAATTCCTTTTACCGAAACAGTAAAAAACCTAGGAATCATTTTTGACCAGCATTTATCCTGGGGGCCCCAGGTAAGTGTACTGAGCCGCAAGATGTTTGGAGCTGTTTCCTCCCTTCGCAGGTTGAGAAATTTTCTGCCTGTACCTACTAAAATTGCGCTGGCAAATTCACTTTTATTACCAATACTTGATTATGCTGATATTTGTTTTCTTGACCTTAAAGAGGAGCACCTGAATCGACTTGAGCGCCTTCAAAATCTTTGCATACGGTTCATATTCGGTCTCCGTAAATATGACCACGTTTCTCACTTTCGCAAAAAACTCAAGTGGCTCCCAATCCGCTTTCGCAGGAATACTCACATACTTCATCTCCTCTACTGCGTGCTGTTTAATCCTTCTACCCCTTCCTATCTCAAAGAGCGTTTCGAGCTTCTAAGGAATTCTCATACTCGTTCCCTGCGTTCTAGTGAAACGCTTATCCTCAAAATTCCTTCTCACTCCTCTTGTTTTCTTACCAACTCCTTTTCTGTGAAAGCTGCACGTCTATGGAACTCTTTACCAGTACACATCAGACGGGCTGATAATTTGGACAAGTTTAAGATGATGTTAAAAACGCATTATTTATCTCTTTAGTTGGTCTTATTATAATATATTATGTACAATATATTTGATATTGTATGTATCTTATATGTATTTATTTGAAATACGTAACTTAAATACTGATTATATTTTTCTATTATACTGCTTGTATGCATATATGTTTGTATGTATGTATTTGTGTATGTATGTATGTATGTATGTATGTATGTATGTATGTATGTATTTATGTATGTATGTATGTATATATGTATGTGTATAAGTATGTATTTATACAAGTACACCGCCTACCATTTTTATATACTGATTCCTCTACCCTAAGGTTGCCTGGAAGAGATCGCTTTTAGCGATAAGGCCGCCTGCTGTGCATCTTTTTATTGTTATGTATTTCACTTCTTTATTTATTTTCTTGTGTGGTGTGCAATAAAGTGTTCATTATTATTATTATTATTATTATTACCGCATCACGAGAAAACCACTGAACAAATTTTGATGAAATTTGGTGTGATGATAGCTGGTAATCCGAATCAAAATATAGGATACTTTCTACCGCAGGAAAATATCTCATTTCTGAGAAAAAATACAAAAACTGCATTGTAAGAGTATACAAATATGTAAAACCTAAGAATTTGGTTTTTGGTCATCTTTACGCGGGCGGAGCCGCGGGCAATGCTAATAAATCTATAAATAAAAAGCTATGCATACGAAGTCACGTGCTTTACTAATGTAATTGTAAAATAGATCTGGGTGGGATTTTATATTTATACACATAGAGCAGAGACTCGTATAAAAAAGGACGTTGACTCATTCCCTACAACAATTAGATGTGTTTATATCTCCACAACTATTTACTTCAAAACAAATATAAGAAAGGCGTGCCATTAAACATAAAGATAGTTCTTGTTTTTAGTCAAGTTGGCAAATCTCAGTCTAACTTGCATAGATGGAAGGAATCTGTTGATTTGTGTAAAATCATTTCTCAGAAAAAAATATATGATATACGTTCAAGTACTTACAGAATTGATAGAAGGTGAGATGATATTGCCATTTCCGTCCTGAGGAGGTCCAGCTTCAGTATCAGTGAAGGCGTAACTGCTCATCAACTGAGGTTGTCCATAAGGATGAGCTAACATGAAGGCTATAGCACCCTTGTACTGCTTGGCTTGTTTGTATGTCAGGATGTTGCCTCCTGCACCGTGTCCTCGTTGGTTATCATGGTTGTCGATGAAGGTTAAAGCATCGTTAGAAGCGAGAAGACCCCATTGTGGGCCCCAGTTGACTAACCATCTATAATTAAATTATAATTTAAATGAGTATTCTTAAATACTTACTTTAAAAAATCAAGATTATTTGTAGCTTCATTCTTATTCTGCTATATGTATATCTAGCATATAAATAGATTTTAGTCTGAGAAATACGTCATCGTATAAAATAATTGCTTTTATTTACATTGCTTCCAAGTATTCTGAGGTTATATGTGGAAATATTGTTATCGTGCATCAAAAATATGTTTGAAATATAAATATAGGGTTATTTTTAAATCATAGTATACTTTAAAAACTACAATTTTTACGCAAACAAGTTAAGTAATAAAAGATAAAACAATAAAAGTAGCTTACCTAAGTTGATTTTGTCTTAAGAAAGCGCGGCTCAATTCGAGACCAAATCTGAATTCAGTGACAGCGGCAAGTGGGGTGTATTCATTCCTACTGATTGCTTCTCCACCGAGATCAATGACTTCTTGGAAGATGTAAGGACGAGCACCAGATGGGAAACCGTGACCGGTGTTCAGATTTTTTAGCCTGCTGTAGATTACATTCAGATCACCCGGCCACATGTGTTTAGCAGCGTCAATTCTGTGAGAAATATTATATCGTGTTAATTTTATAATTAATGGTCATTTCATGTTTTATTACCTGTCAAATTTGGGTGCTCTTTTTTAGAAATACCGGTACGAATAAAATTTTTATAATTAATTCAAGTTCTCACAGAGCATTCGACCCTAACCTACAAATTTCAATACTATGCTCTATATCTATAAATGTAATAAAATTTTAACTGATTCGAATCTGTATATTAAATATATATTTTTTTGGAAAATCTTATTGCAATAGTCATTATTATCGATACAGAAGCCGAATCCATAGTTTTTAGAATTTTTGTCTGTCTGTCTGCCTGGGAACGCATCACGAGAAAACCATTAGATGGATTTTGATAAAATTAGGTATGATGATAGCTAGTTATCGAATCAACGTATAGGATACTTTTTACTGCGGGAAAATATGTCATATCTCAGAAAAAATATAAAAACTGCTTACAGTAAAATCACGTTGAAACTATTAACATTTTATCAGTTACTTATTACTTAAATAGATCAAACATAAATTATAAATAGATTCTCTTGAAAAAACTTTATTAATAGCAATATTTTATATATGAAAATAATTCGACAAATATTTAGTTAAATGTAATTTAGAAAATAGTCACTAAATATCGCCAGATTTAGAAAATCGCACTAGATGTGGTGTTGTATTTTAAATATGTATTTATTAAAATTGTATTTTTTTTTGAAATATATAAAATACATATTTATAAAAAATGTACAGATATAAGTTTTCTATTTTTTTGCCTTTATCATTTTTTATGTTAATGTATTGTAGATTAAAACATGCGATCCATTTATCGATATTATCGTAAGATTTGAACATTTTACCTGAATCCAGCTACTCCAAAATCGATGAGACGATTCATGTAGTTTACTATTTGTTGTCGAACATATTCTGATCCTTGATTCAAGTCTTTAAGACCTGATAATTCGCAGTTGCGCACCTGAAAGAAATATTATTTTAATTTTTTTCCCTGGATAAACAATTAACTACCAAAGAAACTGGTAAAATATTAATATAATTCAACATAAATTATACAGATTTAATGAACCCTCTTTTTGAAATTTCAATTTTCTGGGAGTAATTGGGTTTTGACACCAATTTGGATACTAGCTGTTATAAAACTTTAGCCGAAATAGCATCTTTTATTCTGCTAAAAGATTTCCTGTGGAAGACGGACAACAAAACCCGTATCGCGAAAATGTCTAGTATAAAGTATTTAGAAGGTTTCAAAATAAAAAAAACTTTATTTTCTTCTATATTTGGTGGGGTCACTACTGGGCGCGGGCTTTCCTTCAACGCAAGGGGGATCAGGGCATAGTCCACCATACTGCCCAAGTGCGGGTTGACGGACCTCACATGTCATTCGAAAACTTGCTAAGTTCTCTCAGACATGCAAATTTCCTCACGATGTTTTCCTTCACCATCAGACAAGTGGAAATGTTGGAAATGATTCGCACATGAAAATATCAGAAGTGCGATACCCGAGATTTGAACCCGTTTCACTCGGTTTCCCAAGCGAGCGTGTTACCACATTGGCTACCACTGCCTTTATTATTATTTTTGCTAAATATTATTGTTTATTTATTTTACCGAGACGAGTGCATTTACTACTTAGTTATAGCACATAGCTACAGGTGGATCGCTGACCTAACAGGAACGATTGCGACACGAGGCGTCGAGTTAGCATTCGCGGCATTGTAACGTTACACTTTTGTTTGTTCAATTTTACGTGAGAAATAAATTTATAAATTCCATCATTCTAATTGTTACATCGAGTAGCGTTAGACATAATAAATGTAAAATTTAAGTATAGTTTATAATAAAAGTATTTTTAAGTAAATTTTGTTTTTTTTTGAGTTCTCTGGCTGTGTTGCTCTTAACTGGCGCAGTCGGTAGGATACTCAAAAGAGACGATAAGTAATCTAACATCGACTACTGTCTCGGAGTATCAGGAAGAACCAAGAAGCAGCAGCCCGAGGTGTATCCGAACATTGATACCAGAAAAAACTAAAATGCACATGTAAGTACATAGAATAGCCTGTGTCCTTATTTCCTTTCTATTTTATTGTTCTTATCTTATCCAGGATTTTCCACCCCAGGAAATCGAACCCGAGGGGTACTGCATCAAGTAGGACCTCTCGTAGAAATAATTTAGATTTAGGTAGAAATTTAAGATTAATTTCTGAAATAGATATAATGGCATCTCATGACTTAGAAACTATTTTTAAGGCAGTGCGCGCCGTTCCTGAATTCGATGGGAACCCTAATATTTTACCCAGATTTATTAATATTTGTGACCAAATTGTTAGTCACTACATAGGAACCGAACCCGGGTCAGAACTATCAAACCTTACGTTAATTAACTCTATCTTAAATAAAATAACGGGCTCCGCAGCACGTTTTATAAATTCGAATGGCATATCGGAAAATTGGTTATGCATTAGGACAGCTTTGATAAATAATTTCTCAGATCAACGAGACGAGACCGCGCTTTATAACGATCTTGCTCTAGCTACACAGGGTAATAGTACTCCACAAGAGTATTATGAACGCTGTCAAACATTATTCAGCACTATCATGACCTATGTAATGCTTCATGAAACTATTCCAACGACAATTGATGCCAAACGTACTCTGTATAGGAAATTAACTATGCAAGCATACATACGCGGTTTAAAAGAGCCACTAGGCTCACGAATTCGTTGCATGCGTCCTGATAGTATTGAAAAGGCTTTGGAATTCGTGCAAGAAGAATTGAATGCTGCTTATATGCAAAATAGAAACGAGTCATTTAGTGAAAGAAAGCATGCGACACCTAAACCTATTCAGCCATTACCAATATTTTCACCAACACCAAAAGCATTCAATTTTCCTCCAGCGACTTTCATGCCTCCAAACCAAAGGCAAACTTTACAACAGCCACAACATCAGCAGCAGCTACAATCTTGGAGACAAAATCAGGTAAGTGCACCTTATCATAAACAGCCAACACGCACACAACAAATTTTCCGCGCATTACCTCCTAATTATAATCACAATAGTAACATGTTTCGACTTCCCCCCAGAAATCAAAATCAATTTCAAAGACCTATGAGTGGAATTGTTAACTACACCCCGAAACAATTACCTCCTACAAATTTTAATTCACGCCCATTTGCACCACAAATTAACCAACAACCACACCACAGTAATTTTCCACGTGAAATGAATTTCCATGAATCTTATTTCCAGGACTATGACTATAATAATGACTCTGAATACTATTATGACCCCGAATCTTATTATTACTATCCGACATACTATACTGACTATACCGAACATGACTATGACATGAACACCATCACCACTCAGCAACATGACCAAACCGACTTGGTACAAGACGCAGACTTTGGTCGACAGACCAATGAACCTAAATCGGATTTTCAAGAAACTCCCAAGTTAAAAAAGCCAAAATAGAAGTCAACATACAGACGCAAAGGCAGCTCCCATACATACAAATTTATTATCCTCCTATTAAGCTACTTATTGACACTGGTGCTAATCAGTCATTTATAAGCCCAGAAGCCGTTGAAAACTACTTTTCTAATATCCCACTCAACTATGACCCATTTGAAGTGACCAATGTTCACGCCACCACACGTAACAACTATTCGATTACTATACCGACCTTTACTGAATTTAATGACTCGAAGGACATGAAACTTTTCATATACAAATTTCATAACTACTTTGACGGACTCATAGGGTTAGACTTACTCGAACAGTGGGCGGCTAGGATAGATCTTAAAGATAAATTATTATATACTCAAAATGCTACTAATCCCATACACATGTATAACTCATGTAACGTAAATTTGTACGAAGATGTCATACCGGCGAATTCATCAAAGTTTATTAAAATACCAGTTAATAGTAAAGACGGAGACGTTTTAATCCCGGAGCAAGTCATTTCTAATTGTATTATAATTAGCTGTTTAACCTCTATAAAAAATAATCGTGGAATTTTGGAAGTTATTAATCCGACTCAACATGACGTGATTTTTTCTATGGATAGGAGTATTCTTACTGAAATTCATAATATAGAAGTTTTTAATAGGTTAAATTTATCATCCCGAGCAAAAGAGGTACTAAGTCGATTACGTACAGATCATTTAAATCCCGAAGAGCGTACTAATCTAGAGTTATTGTGTTCCAAATATGCTGATATATTTTACATTGAGGATGAGGCTTTAACATTTACTAATAAAATCAAACATCGCATAAGAACTACTGACGAAATTCCCGTACATAGCAAAAATTATAGATATCCCTTTATCCATAGAGATGAGGTTAGGAGTCAAGTAAATAAAATGTTGGAACAAAGAATAATAAGGCCTTCTAATTCTGCTTGGAGCTCACCTATTTGGGTGGTTCCAAAGAAAGCTGACGCCTCTGGTAAAATTAAATGGCGACTCGTTGTAGATTTTAGAAAGCTTAATGAAAAAACACTAGATGATAAGTATCCCATACCGAATATTACAGACGTACTAGACAAATTAGGCAATTGTCAATACTTCACAACTTTGGATCTCGCGAGCGGTTTTCATCAGGTCGAAATGCATCCCGATGATATTCCTAAAACTGCATTTAACGTAGAACATGGACATTACGAGTTTTTGAGAATGCCAATGGGACTGAAAAACGGACCATCGACATTCCAGCGCGTAATGGATAACGTCCTTAAAGAACTACAGAACACCATCTGCTTAGTATACCTGGATGATATAATTGTATTTAGCACATCTTTACAAGAACATATAATAAATTTGGAAAAAGTGTTTAAAAAATTAAGAGAATCCAATTTTAAAATACAATTAGATAAGTCGGAATTTTTAAAGTTAGAAACAGCGTATCTAGGCCATATTATCTCTAAGGATGGTATTAAGCCCAATCCGGATAAAATTAAAGCCATAGAAAAATATCCGATGCCTAAAACTAATAAAGAAATAAAACAATTTTTAGGTTTGTTAGGTTACTATAGAAAATTTATCCCAGATTTTGCAAAACTTACTAAGCCTCTAACAAAGTGCTTGAAAAAGGGTAATAAAATAATTTTGAATGAAGAATACGTAAATTGTTTTGAAAAATGTAGGAAAATTTTAGTGAACGACCCCATATTACAATATCCTGACTTCAATAAGGAATTCATACTTACTACTGACGCATCTAATGTTGCTATTGGCGCTATCCTATCGCAGGGACCCATTGGTTCCGATAAACCTATCTCTTATGCTTCTAGAACTCTTAACGATACAGAAATAAATTATAGCACTATCGAAAAAGAATTGTTGGCCATTGTGTGGGCAACAAAATATTTTCGCCCTTATCTTTTTGGTAGGAAATTTAAAATTCTCACAGATCATAAACCATTACAGTGGGTTATGAACATGAAAGAACCGAATTCTAGATTAACCCGTTGGAAGCTTAAATTAAGTGAATACGATTTTACGGTTGTATATAAAAAGGGTACAGTAAATACTAACGCAGACGCTTTATCACGAATCCAAATTCACAATGAAGAGATTAGTTCAGTTGTAGCAAACCCATCCGAAGATCATGTTTCAATAGGCTCATCGACGGAAACAGCTCATTCAAGTAGAGAAAATCCGATACTCGAAATTCCCATAACTGATGAACCACTCAATAAGTTTCACAGACAATTACATTTAACAGCCGTAGGAGATATTCAGCGTAAACCTAAAGTCTCAAAACCATTCGAAACTCATACGCGAATAGCAGCTGAAGTAAGACAACCCTATTTAGCTCATGATGTAGTAAGTGTTATAAAAGAATTTGTTAACCCGAAAATTAAGACAGCTTTATTGATAGAACCAACTTTTAGTATGTTTGATATCATTCCTATAATACAGGAAAAATTTAGAAGTTCATCTATGAATCTAGTTCTAGCTAAGGTTGAATTGGAGAATGTTAGTGATTACCTTAAACAGCAAAACATAATTCAAAAGTATCACGAAGGGAAAACTAACCATCGTGGTATAAATGAGTGCTATCTTGCTCTCTCTAAGCGTTATTACTGGCCAAAAATGAAGGAGCATTTAACAAAATTTATCAACCAATGTTCAGTTTGTGGTCAAACAAAGTATGATCGTAAACCAATAAAGCAGCAATTCCGAGTTGTTCCGCCAGCTACAAGACCTTTCGAAATTGTTCATATAGATGTATTTACTGTAGAAACCGAAAAATATTTAACTATTGTAGATGTTTTCTCTAAATACGCTCAGGCCTATCATCTAAAAGACGCAACAGCTATTAGCATTTTACAAGCCCTCCTACAATTTTGTACTCATCATAATTTTCCTTTAACAATAGTAAGCGATAACGGCACTGAATTTAGCAATCAGCTTTTTACAGAATTTTCTGAAGTTCATAAAATAACACATCATAAAACGCTACCCCACTGTCCCAGTAGTAATGGTAATATCGAAAGACTACATCTGACTCTACTTGAACATCTTCGAGTTTTAAGACTTAAAAATAAGAATGACCCCGTAACTAACCTGATGCCTTACGCTATCATTGGTTATAATAGTTCAGTGCATAGTTTTACGAAATGCAGACCTTATGACATAATAAACGGACATTTTGACCCGCGTGACCCACTAGAGATAGATATTCAAAAACATCTAATGCAACAATATGTTCAAACGCATAGGGAACAGATGCAAACCGTTTACGACACAATTAATGAATTTACTTTAAAAGATAGAGTAGCTATTATAGAAAACCGAAACAAAGATAGAGAACCTGAGGTAGAATTTGAACCTAATCAACAAATTTTCATTAAAAATCCTTCAGCAAATAGGCAAAAGTGTGCTCCACGCTATATCCAGGACAAAGTGTTAGCCAACTTGCCAATACATATTTATTCCTCTAGAAAAAAAGACCCAATAGCTAAACATAGAATTAAGCGAGTGTCTAAGAACCCCATATTGTTACAGGATACCTCCCCTGGTCATCTCAATCCTGTCCCTGACCGTTCGACTGACAGCGACTCAGACTGTACAACTTGAGAGCTTAGGAGATGGACCCGGATTACTACCTTTCAAATTGGGACTGACAAGACTAGTAACCCATTATCATTCCTTTTTACAATATATACAACTTGATAGTATAGAGAACACAATTTTGACCTTACAAACACAATTGTTCGATTTTAAAACATCTTTAGAAAATGATACTTTTAGTCTATATGAATTGCAAATCAATTATCTTCACACTAAATTGGACAAAGTTAGAATGCAGTTAAAAACACTGGAGCCAAATCGTGCAAAACGAGGTCTCGTGGATGGATTAGGATCTATAATAAAAAGCATATCGGGAAATTTAGATTATACAGACGCAATTAAATACAATAATGCCATAAAATTTTTAGAGGAGTCACAATCTAAAGTTATTTCCGAATTTAATAATCATATTAGTATCAGTAAGGAGTGGATGAACTGTCAAACTGATATTATCGCGCAGTTAGTAGAGAATCAGGGTAAGCTTAACACTACGTTATTTTTATTGTTAGATAAAGATAGTTATAGGAGTACAAGTTTAATTAAGTATGCTAAATTCGCTCAACTTCTCACGATAATAACGGAAAACGTAGACGATATATTAGAAGAATTAATAGAAGTAGAAAACTCATTAGCATTTATTAGATCCTCTAGTATGCATCATTCAATGTTAAGTATAAATGAAATTGATAAAATGTTCATAAAACTTCGACAAATTTATCCAAAAGAACAGGTTATAGATTTAGAACTAAGACAATATTACGACATAATAAAGCCAGGCTATTACTATTATGGTAGGCAAATAGTTATGGTCTTCAAGCTACCATTAGTTTCCTCTGAATCTTTTTACATGTATAAGTTAGCTGTTTTCCCAAATAGGAAGATGCAGACTCTTTTTCCTTCCTCTCCTTATATCCTTACCAACAGGCATACATTCATGTACATAGAGGCAGAATGCCCGAAGTTCAATAACCAATGGTATCTTTGCGAAAATAAGAACAACATACTCCGAACCTCATGGGACTGCATTCAGACTCTGATTCACAACCAAACTTTGGATCACACTTGCGAGATGACTACATTAACCCTATCACAAGAAGCTTTGGAGGAATTAGATGGGCGACACTACATAATATCGTTTCCACACCCTACGAAAGTACACACTATATGCGGACGGGAAGATTTCATCATATTAAATGGAAGCTTTCTGGCCACACTTCCTGTAAACTGCATCTTAAGGACAGGAGAAATTGTTATCAGTAATACCGAGGATAAAGTAGCGGGACAACCTTTTAAAATTATGGATATAAAGTACAAGGACCAGCAATTTAAGAGTACAAATCATATAAAATTAAAATCTATTGATTTAAACAACCTGCATTCTATACAGAGTAAAGTTATGTTGCAACCAACTTTATCAACGGAGAAGGAAGCGTCTTCACTTTATCATACTACCATTCCTTTTTACATCATATTATTAAGTGCACTTACAATCATTACTGGAATAATTGTTACACATCGATATAGAAACGCACGCCATCATGAAACTAAATCTATAGAGGAAAGTAATAAAGGAATAAATCAACAAAATCAATCAGCTGAAAAATCTGACAGCATCCAGGAGCAATTTCCAGCAACATTTTACCACACTGTTTTAAAATAGTTGCTGTTCTCGGGGTGGAGGAGTTATAGCACATAGCTACAGGTGGATCGCTGACCTAACAGGAACGATTGCGACACGAGGCGTCGAGTTAGCATTCGCGGCATTGTAACGTTACACTTTTGTTTGTTCAATTTTACGTGAGAAATAAATTTATAAATTCCATCATTCTAATTGTTACATCGAGTAGCGTTAGACATAATAAATGTAAAATTTAAGTATAGTTTATAATAAAAGTATTTTTAAGTAAATTTTGGTTTTTTTTGAGTTCTCTGGCTGTGTTGCTCTTAACTACTTAAATATTTCAGTAAACTACAAAACATTAAAAAACTAAGTTTTTTACACTTTTAAGGTTTCATAATTAAGTGGCAAAAGTGAAATCCTTCCATTTGTAGGTCTATCCAATATTATATACTTGAAGGTTATTGTATATAACCGAAATGTGGTAAGCATATTGGATCAATTCTGAAAATAATAAAAATAACTTTAAAATCAAGCAAAAAATATGTAAATTACTTACTCTGTCAGCACAACAAGCGTAATCATTGCCGGAGATGACACAATGAGGCCAGTTGAAGTCGTTCCTGCCATAGGGCACAGCAGGATAGTGCCAGTTACCGAAGTTAGCATTACTGCCACCGGTACCAACATTCTCATTCCATGTGCCTGTCATGTGGTTGATGATTGCATCTACATAGATCCTGGTAATGTAGAACAATTTTAGTAGAGTATCATTTATTTTAATCAAGGCTATACAGATTTACTGATGTTATTAAACTCTGTATGTGCAAACTACTACTTTATTATTATCAACTATTTGTATTTCTCTTTAATTTTTAAGAGACTGCATAGCTGTTACTTGGACAAACGGCCAAAATACTTAAGAATGTTAATTTGATTAGTTTTTTATCTAAAAAACTCCCCAAAAATAATTTTATATTATACTCAATGTTTGAACACAGTAAACACTAACCTTACACCAGCATTGTTACAGCGTCGCACCATATTTGCGAACTGTTGTTCGTTGCCAGATCGTGTGACCAGCCGGTAGGACATGGGTTGGTAGCGCTCCCACCATGGACGATTTCTAGAGCGAATTATCAAGTTCTCGTTGGGCGGTGAAATCTAACAAGTATAATAGTATAATATTTGGTAAATATTATTAATGAAAAAAAAACTTAAATTTTAAATTAATTAGTAATGAATTATTATTAAAAGTAATTTATCCTTGCTAAGACTGAGTCAAATATCTACCTACCTCTCTATAACATTAATTACTATAGTAATATGCCTTTATAACAGGATAAGGAGTTTTAATAATAACAAATAAAATGTAACAATTCGTTTTTAATCCGACATAAATCATTTTCTATCGAGAATCGTTAACCGAAGAGCAGATTTAATAAGGTAATATATTTTCCACAAGTAACTTAATCATGGGTTGTCTTATTTTTTCCTAAGAAGCAGCGTCCTTTTTCAGCAAATTAAATTTCCGACCATTTATTTAGTAAATTGATTCTCTGCCACTGGAAACCCTCTATTTCACCTAAGTTTAATCAACTATCGGATTGCAGTACACGCTCCCTTTACTAGTAAATGAGAATAGTAATTGACCAAGTCACATTTAAAGAGCAGGCTATAGAAATAAAAAAGATACAAATGCATAAAAAACTGATTTTGTATGTATTACAGTTAACATTTTTGTTAGAGTTACGTTTACTGGATATGAGTCATGATAATGTTTTTTAACTTACATTTTGACTGTTATTGATGATTGAGTTGCTAAAATGTCTATGGATGAATTATAAAAAATCCAACAAATTAAAGTACTTATCAATAACTTCTTGTACGATTGTATAGAATAAAAATTATTACTTTTCTTAAATACAAGCGTCTTACCCTTGCTTCGCTCGTATGCGTCACTACGTACGTTTCAAATAATTTGAGCGGAACCCTAATTCTTTTTATAAAATGAAAGTAATCAAAGTTACTCATTGTAACATTACCTATCTGCCAGTCAGTGAAAGTCTCATAAAAATTAGCACAGCTGTTTCGGAAATTAGCCGGAACAAACATACAGAGAGACACAGAAAGATAAACAAAAAAAAATTGAGTTATGCTTATAAGTACCTACCGTATATAATTTCATATGCATTTAGTAAAAGTGTTTTTTTTTATATTACAAACAGACACACATAATTTTTCAATTTATCTCAGTAATTCTTCTAATGGAATAGGTGCCTAAGATGAAATTTAAGAGAGACTCAACGTCATAAACAATGCAGGTTTATGCGAAGCGTTTGTATACCTGTGAAAATCGCATCCCCTTGATTGCTTTACACGTCACGTTATTATCTTTAGATGTAATTCGTAATGATACTGGTAATTAGCATTATTAATATTAATTTATAAAGATAGCGAGTAGACTCATAAATCATAATCTTAAAATTATTTCAATCAGCTTTAATTTTTTCCTTTTCGCCACGTATGATAAGTAGTGAGTGCAAATAAGATACCTAATTTTATTATAATAAAATTTTCGTTTAAATTTGAACAATTTTATCAAAAATAGAACAAAGTCCCAATTTTTTTTTAAATTGTCTATTAATATAATATGCAAATTAATATAATACTCAAATTGGACGTAGTTATGCAAAATAGATCCAACCACAAAAACTTACTTTTGAGAAAATAGGAGTTTTACTAAAATTGGTATATCAAAATAACAAGACCGTAGTTTTTTTTTCAATTCCTCTTAAATATTTGGTTATTTTATCTACTTTCTGTATATAAGTTGATATTTATGTGTAATTTATGTCAGTAGCTCAAAAAACGGTTTTCGTGGGCTGGATCCATTTCGCATAACTACGTCCAATTAATTGTGTGAAATTTAGTCTTTTGCAGGTATCAAACAGTGTCCTCATATATGCCCATATTATACAATTATACTAACAATATAAAGAATTTGTTTTTTTTTTGTTTCTTTTTCATTTGGTAGCCCAATTCTTGATAAAGGCTATAAGCTATTTAACATCACGCTACGACTTTTAGGATCGAAAAGCAAAGGCAATGTAATAATTTGTTGTTATATAACATAGACATAGTTATGTTATATAACAACAAATTATTAAATTTTTTATACGATTAATTATTTATCATAGATTTTTAATTACGTTTAAGTGCCATTACCTGAATACCACCGAATCCACGTGGTCCGAGGAACCTCTCACATTCAGCTGCAATATCATCCCACTTCCACTCGAAGAGATGGACCATCGTTGACCTCCCTTGTGCATAGAATGGGTTTTTATATGCCGCCGCCAAAGTGACGGCTAACAATAAGAGGATGAGACGCATCATCCTGGATGCTGTAAACAAATATATGATTGAAAATACAGTGTTTCAAAAAAGTAAACAGTGTTTTTATAATTGAAACTTTAAATGAAATTTTATCGACATATTCGATTAGTTGACAATATAAGCTAACTTCACAGCGGCCATCACTATGATAGGTGATTGTTTTCCCTAGCAACTACACGTTGAAATTCAAGTTATCGATGAAGGCTATTTATTACTGGTAGAAGATGATAGATAATATCAGTAGAAAACTATTTTAGGTCTTGACAACCATCTAGCGTAGCGATATAAGCAATCACTATGTATCGTTGCTATACGGGTTGTCGTCGGTTCATGTTCCGTTCGAGACACATAATATTATAAAACACAAGACAAAAGGATATTAAATATGCAGCACTATTTATATTTTCTTATTTCTTGGAACTATTCACTTGCGATATTACAAATTTATCTATCGAAAAACACTTGCAACCATGATTTCTCTTTTAGATTTACGCGAATATTTGACATTTTAAATAATAATATCTTTTCGGATTTTTTCGCGGATTTCCTTAGATTTTTGGTTGCCAATAATAATGAAAACAATAAATTGTAACTTAGTTAAATTCATATTAAAATATTTCTCCTACGTTCTACTGTCTCATTTCCACTATAACTTGCATTATTAAGTTTCTATATTGCTGGTTTGCGCTATTTTCCTTGCGGAATAAACACCGAGCACTTACTAAATTCACTTCGTGCTTCGCTTTCCGCCGATGATAATATAATGATTATATTCGTAACATCGATAACGTTTGTTATTTACTTTTTCTTTCTAAATTCTACGGTCATTTTAATTTATCCGTAATATATTTCTAAATGTATTAAACAATAATGATTACCAGATTATGAAAATTTGAAAATCAATTAGGATCATTTTCAACCGACTTCAAAAAGGAGGAGGTTCTCAATTCGACTGTATGTTTTTTTTTTTATGTTTGTTACCTCAGAACTCCGTCATTTATTAACCGATTTGGACAATTTTTGTGTCGTTTGAAAGGGTATACTTCCAGATTGGTCCCATTTAAATTTCAAAAAAAAATACCACCCCTAAGGGTGGAAAATTTGCTAATAATGAATTTAACCTACTTCTAATTGTCATATTGATTTGAAACTTTGCAAGTATTTCTATTTCCGTTGATGATACAGTGGTTCGGTATTGTTGACCTGATCTGATGGCAAGGCCAGAAGGTGAATAGGTGGAGATTCTCTTCAATTCGATTCGATTCTCTTCAACGGCTAATAGTAGATACTTTGAGTTTGGGCTTATTTTGTTTGATTTGACAAGCCTAACACGTTAGAATCCTTACTTTTCTACTACTGTCTACACTAAAAAGGGAAAAATAAAAAAAAATTAAATAAAATATTAAAAACCGACTTCAAACAAAAGCACTAAAAAGTAAAAAATAACTGATTGGTAGTTTTCATTTACTATACATACCTAATCAAATATTTTCGAAGTCGGTGTGCTTTGGCTAAGTAATTAAAGCCTACCTATTAAATACATACCTAATCAAATATTCTCGAAATCGGTGCCAGCTCATACAAAGCAAAGCACACCGACTTCGAAAATATTTGATTAGGTATGTATAGTAAATGAAAACTACCAATCAGTTATTTTTTACTTTTTAGTGCTTTTGTTTGAAGTCGGTTTTTATTTTTTTGTTAAAAATTTTTTTTAGTTCGATACCAGCGACATTCAAATCAAATACTTAGCGGCTTTAACATGTCACTTCTATACATATAATAAAATTGTAACTAAGTCGAATCTGTACATAAAATATTTTTTGGAAAATCTAATTGAAATAGACATTATTATCGATACAAAGTCTGCATCTATAGATTTTAGAATTTTGTCTGTCTATCTGTCTGTTCCCACATCACGAGAAAATCACTTGACAGATTTTCATAAAATTTGGTATGATGATAGCTGGTTATCCGGGTCAACATATAGGATACTTTTTACCGCGGGAAAATATCTCATTTCTGAGAAAAAATAGAAAAATTGCATTGTAAGATGATAATAATATGTAAAACCTAAGAATTTGGTTTTTGGTCATCTGAACGCGGGCGGAGCCGCGGGCAATGCTTGTTAGGCTATAAAAATGTTAATTTGTTTTATTTACTCATTAATTTAGGTTATCAGTGGTTATAGAACTAATCGAATATTTTCCAAACAGATTTATATGATAGCTTAATGTATATCTGATATTAGAATAATCGACTGAGCGGACTGACACACCGCGAATACCTTATCATTACGCAACATATATATGTTAAGTTATCAGATTTTTTATATATTTTATCTTCTATGTGAGTAAAGTTGCCTAAAATTATTAATTGCAATGCTTAGCTAACCTGAACGGCTTAAAATTTGACTGTTTTAAAGGTTCAACCAACAAGAAAGGATATTTTTAATGCAACCCTTTAAAGGGTGAACAAAGGTCGCAAAGTTTGATGAGACTCATTATTAAAATTAATGAATCAAATTATTCAGAATTGAACATTCTAGCCTAAGAGTTAGTAAATAAAACAGCTATCTTGAGTTCGTTTTTCAAGACATCAGTGCTTGCACTTTATAATCATACTAAGTTTGAAGCTTATATCTAATACTATTTTTGATATGGTAAGAACAAAAAAAAACTCATAAATTCCGGTGCAGAAATCGACTACGAATTATTATTTTGCTTTTTTTTTAATTTTGTAAGTTTTTGACTTCAATAACACATCATTTAAAGGATATCTTAGCCCTTGTATTTGGGTCCCAATTAACTTATCCTCTATAATAGAGTCCTAAAAAAGATTCATCATAGATATAATAAGTCATGTTCTTTAAACAATATAATGGCTATATATTGATCCCTTATAATCTTTTACTCATTAAATTATTTTCTACTAACATATATTTGTACGTCCCGAACTTGTTATGTTGCCGACATTTTTTTAGATCCCATAGGTACTCTAAATATATGCACTGATTTATATGGATTATCAAAATACACATAACTCATGCTTATACCTATCTTTTAATCTATCTCGGCTAGTTCAAATGAAATTTGTAATATGAGCACGAACTATAATAAACTAAAATGTAATCACAAAAATACACTTTTTAATTTAAAATAGTAATTTAATTTCTAAGTTTGTAATCTCTTTAAAGATTTGTTTAAATCCTGTATGTTTTTATTTTCAAATAATTTACAAAAAATAAATAAACAAACCCACACATTTTCATATTATTTCTAATAGTTTTAATTATAATATATGAACAATATAATTATAATAATATTAATTAATGAACTCACTGTCGACTTGTTCAGACTGTCCCTTGAAGAGGCCATAGGGTCAAAGATAAAATAAGCTACGTCTATTATTTATGCACTATCTAATTTCCTCAGTTTTCTGAGTGAATCTCATTTTGTACACTTCATAATGTATTTCTTTGTTAAATAAAAATAAGTATTTTTTTTATATTTATAATCACACTATTAGTAAAAAGCGAGTACATATTTATAACTACTATGTGTATGTTTGTTATTGACGCGTAAGCCACAGAATTTGAATAAACTTGGCACGATTATTTACGCGGAAGAACAATACAACCATAACAATTAAATACTACGTAATAAATGTAAATAATATTAAAAAAAAATTTTTTTTCTTGAAATAATAAAAACTAAGGAACTGATTACTTACATTACGTTATCTAATTCCCCGTAAGTTTCCGATCTGGCTCAGCCCTCCCACTGCGATATTATTTATATACGGCATAAAAGATAAAATCTGTGGCTTTCTTGATAGTAGGTATATCGTATCTCTTGTAATCCAAGATATTTTGACACAAACAATTTTATAATCACCAAAATAACAGTAATTACTGATACGATACTATATCAACACCTCCAAGAGTTGTGATTTCGAACTTAGATTTTAAATGTACCAGATATTATTATTTTTTTTTTAAATTATCTCAATACTGAGGTACACAATACTATTCTTTGCAGATGCCAATATGATAATAAATAATTAATAGCTTAATTAGCTATTAGTAGTAGTAGTACAAAGTTGACATTTTGAGTTACTGAGCAAAGTATACAAAATTTGCCTTGCTTGCTTTGCTTATTATTCAAGTTTTCTACATATCGTTGGCTCAATATTACAAGGTTCTATGTTACAATTTTAGTACTTATTTAGTTATTAATGCTACAATGTTCTATGTGTCAGTAGGTACAGTTTTGCAAAAACAAACCACTAGATACCGGCACTATAACTATAAAATATTCAATTTTACATAAATCTATGTTTTTTTTACGATAACCAAATAACGAAGGTCTATGTAAAAATTACTAAACTTCATAAAATTAACATAGAACCTTGTAATAGTGAGCCAACGATATGCTCTCTCGCTCAATACGCATTTAGAACACTTGTTAGTTTCGCTTTGTATTTACAAGATGGAATTAGTTGTTATTAGTTTTATCAAAAACGTGTAGGTAGATAATGTACCTACTTTTATTTAGTTTTGTTATCAATAGATTTTAAGGAAAAAATATAGGAAAGTTGCCCGGAATGTTCAGAAAGTTGGGAAAAGTAAATCGGATGAGCTGCTGTTAACAAACTGAATGTAATAAATGCAGTTTTACTTCACTAAAGTAATGAAATAAATTAGATATTTTAATTCCTTACCAAACGTCAGATATCTGAGATAAAAATGGCCCATTTGAAAAACACTAATACACAAATGCCGATACACAGTATGGTATTTGTCATGTTTTTAGCGTTCAGTAATTACAATTATAACCTTAGATTAAATAGCTTATTAGAAATGGTGTAATTTTACATAGGTTTTTTTTAAATGATCGATGTAGCAACAGGTGGGGTACAGGTTGAAAATGAACACAAACAATTATATTGTTACGTTCTATGAGTTCGCGGATTGGAAATTATAACACGTTTTTTGAACTACTGATGTTTTATTGCTTTTGGTTAACAAGAGTGACATATTATGGATATTCTCCATTACGCGCTGTATATTACATTTCAGTTACACTTTGGCAACATCTACTCACTTTTACTTTAAATTTACTCCACTTTTATTCTCTCAGTCTTCAACTTTTTTGCATTTCTTCTCACTCTTCACTTAGCTCCGAAATTCAAAGGACCCCTTTGATACACTATCGGCCTTTTATATGCATAAATAACGAACATTCTAGTATTTGAAAATTCGAAACATTTCTAGTAACAATTCCTTTCTGGAAATGTTTTGTTTCTCTCTTATACACGGAAATTTACAATTAACTGCTGGTTTACTCTTGAAACTGATTCGAATTTGATTTTGTTTTTGATTCGAATTCAATTTTGATTCGAACTCGATCCGGCTGCCTTACTGCCGAACCAAATCGAAACAAAACCGAGATCGACTTACGTTCGAGTGTTATCAGCGCCGTTAACTGTATCCGGCTGCTGTGAATCTATGGTCAAATTCTTTTTAATGTAAAAAAAACGTTATATAATTAGCTTTTTTCGTTTAAGATGATTCCCTAGTGTTTTAATAACAATTTTAAAGATTATATTTAAATTCTTTAAGGCATTCTAAAATTTATTTCGTGATTAAACCACAGACAATAATGATGGTTTAAATATTTATTCTGTACCTTTAAACTATTTATTACTTATTACTATGGCAACGCGGTGTCAACTGTCACAGCGCTACATTTTAAAAGTTTGTATTGGTGTTTATGTATTAAAATAAGTTTTAATTCCACAATAAAGTTACCAAATTTCAAAATTACCGCTCAATCTCATTCGTGTCTTCCTCACAAAACGTGACACTGGCAGAATGGATTGCGTCTGTTAACGCAACTATAAGCCATTATAAAAAAAATGTATTAAAAATAATAAGTAATAATATTTTTAAAGCCACTAAAAAAAGAAAAAATAATAATTGATGACAATATGTTTTGGTGTATAAAACTACGCGTTATTTTTTGGTAAGTATAAGTATATTATTTGTGTATATTAAAACAAATATGCGTTACATATGATGTCCGTATAGTAATGTATTGGGTATAATTATCCCTAACTGTTATAATATGGTTACAGATTCAAGAGAAAAGAAGGAAAGACATACAAACCCACTCTACTGGAAGGGTAGAAAGTAGCAGAAACAATAAAATTCTTCTAACACTATTGGATCGAATTGGTTGTATCAAATGTAAAATAAAAATGTTCATTACAAATGCGTATTATATTACCATGTAAATAAAACATTAATTTAAAAAATAATGTCTGTTGAATCACAATATTTGGATAAGATAATGTCACTTGCTCTATCTATTTTCGTAACTGCTTATTTCTTTCTTCTTACAGGACAATTATTCTCTGTTGCATAAATTATTATTTAAAGGCATATAATGTATAGTTTCAGCATAACTCTGTGAGTTTAAATAGGTTTCAATTGTGTAATTTCTTGTTCTAGTATATATACATATAGCTGAACAGTGCTTTTGGGTGTCATCCTTTACACGTATTTTCACTTGGTATGATTCGTCAATAACATAAAAAAATCGCAGGCGAGCCGAAACAATAAAAAAATATCATTATCAATCAACATAATCTCGTCTAAAGTCTTAAATTAAGTAGGTACACTAAGATGTGATAAATCTATAATTAAAAAGCTATGCATACAAAGTCACGTGCATTTGCTAATGTAATTATAAAACAGATCTGGGTGGGATTTTATTTATATACATAGAAGCGGAGACTTGTATAAAAAAGAACGTTGACTCATCCCCTACAATTAGATGTGTTTATCTCTTCACAACTATTTGCTTAAAAATAAATATAAGAAATGCGCGCCTTTAAATTATTTTTATCTAGTTTAAATTTGATTTACATTATTTACACTGTGTACTTTACGCGTTTGATTTCGAAACCTGACAAACTTTTGCAGTTAATAATAATTAATAAACACTAAGAATAATTATTTAAAAATTTTGTAGTGCCTAAAAATTTTGTGGTGCCATATATCAATCAGTTCGCTGTAAAAAGCTTATACGCGTAGTAAAGAGGCATACTGCAATTGTTTCTGCCTATAGTACCTATATATTTATAATTTTATTTTCCTTCTTTTATGCACGCCTATAATTTTAATAAGCACCAATGAGCATAATTAACCGCTGGAAAGTCGAGATACATTCCCTTCTATAATATGCGTGCCCCACGCATTTTCGCAATTCGATTGCCTTATAATGTGTTCTCCAATGTGTACCATCACCGCCATCACCATCTAACTGTTGCTGTCGTCATCATCGGCGCTGAAGCTGAGTATCGTACGCAGAGCTCCAGTCACGCACCCGCAACCCTATAATCTTATATACAGTCCATATAAATACTCATTATTGTACCAACCCTATCGATATTAAGTTATATCGAACCCTTATACGCACAGCAAAGAAGATTTATTATTCGGTTAATGGTTACATATAAAAACGGTTCTAGTGAATTTCATAATATAAGATAGCTCTTATTTCTTATTATTTTTAGTCAAGTTGGCGATTCTCAGTACTACTTGCATCATTTCTCACAAGAAATTTTGAACATGAAATACGTTTATGTACTCACAGAATTGATAGAAGATGAGATGATATTTCCATTCCCGTCCTGAGGAGGTCCAGCTTCAGTGTCAGTGAAGGCGAAACTGCTCATCAACTGAAGTTGTCCATAACGATGAGCTAACATGAAGGCTATAGCTCCCTTGTACTGCTTGGCTTGTTTGTATGTCAGGATGTTGCCTTCTGCACCGTGTCCTCGTTGGTTATCATGATCGTCGATGAAGGTTAAAGCATCGTTAGAAGCAAGAAGCCCCCATTGTGGAAACCAGTATATCTGTAGTTAAATAATATTTTAAATGATTACTATGAAATACCATATAAATAGTTTTTAGTCTGAGAAATACGTCATCGTATAAAATAATTACGTTTATTCACTTTGCTTCCAAGTATTCTGAGGTTATACGTGGAAATATTGTTATCGTGCATCAAAAATATGTTTGAAATATAGATAAAGGATACACACATGATGACACATACACATGATAAACAATATGTACTTGCAAGAATGTGGCATTAACTTTTTATATTAATTTTTTTATTAAATAGTTAAAGCATGAAAAAATGAAATCTTAATACCTATATCTTCTAAAATTTGGAATATTTTTCTATAAACTTATTAGATGACACACATGAGGTATTATTATATTTTCAATAAGAACGACATAAATGTCATGCTCCCTAATGTATTTTTCAAGAAAAATACCTACCCATTGAACCCTCACAATCCCAAGAAATCAGGTTACGATCCGAAAAATGCCAAAGAATGTTTAACATCGAACCTACGTATGTGTATTATCCCCACAATAAGCGACAATTATGATGATACTTTATAACGACTATATATATACATATAATAAAATTGTATCTCAGCCGAATCTGTACATTAAGTATTTTTTGGAAAATCTTATTGAAATAGACATTATTATCGATACAGAGGCTGAATCTATAGTTTTTAGATTTTTTCTGTCTTTCTGTCTGTTAGCGCATCACAGAAAAACCTCTGGAGGGATTTTGATGAAATTTGGTATGGTGGCTGGTTATCCGGGTCAAGATATAGGTTACACTTTTTACCGCGGGAAAATATTTCATTTCTGAGTAAAAATACAAAAATTGCATTGTAAGAGTATATTAATATTATTTAAAACCTAAGAATTTGGTCTTTGATCATCTCAACGCGGGCGGAGCCGTGGCCGGACAATGTTATTGTATAAAAATAAAATGTCAATCTATGATTTTTAAATATAGCTCATATTATCAATGAAATACGGCTAAACCTGATTGAATGACTTATATAGCAGAAATAAAATAGAATGCAGTAGAAAAATTTAAAATTCCTACAGAGTTAATGATGAAAACAACGGTATGATCTTAAGTAGATTTTTATTTGAGGAATGGATCTAAAGTGTTTGCGCTAGTGAAGTGTTATACGATTTTTGGCATTGCGTGAACGGGTTGACGGGTCTAAAATTAAGTTGCAATTTATAGAAATAGACCTAATAAGTAAAAAAGGATATAAGGATGATACGTGCTACGTACGCAAAAACATGAAGTTAGTTAAATAATTATTAATATTTGCAAGCTGAATTGAGCATATTTTCTTCCATTTTTAACAAGACATGTAATCATCTATCGATATTATTCGTAAGATATAATTTTATTACCTGAATCCAGCTACTCCAAGATCGATGAGACGATTTATGTAGTTTACTATTTGTTGACAAACATGTTCTGACTTCTGATCGTTGATTCAAATCTTTAAGACCAGATAACTCGCAGTTACGCACCTGAAAAAATTAACCTGAAAAAATAACTTCTTTATCAATCATTGTTGTATGTTGTATTCAGCCCTTTTTATCCCACTGCTGGGCATGGGCCTCCCTTCAGTACGAGGGGAATCAGGCCATAGTCCATCACGCTGGATAAGTGCGGGTTGGCGAACTTCACATGTCTTTCGAAAACTTGTTAAGTTCTCTCAGACATGCAGGTTTCCTCACGATGTTTTCCTTCACCTTAAGGCAAGTGGTAATTATGTTAGAAATGATTCGCATATTAAAATATCAGAGGTGCGAGACCCGGAATTTGAACCCGCTTCACTCGGTTTCCCAAGCGATCGCGTTACCACTGGGCTACCATTGCCTTGGCTACCACTGTCTATCGTATCGTATGTCGTATAGACAAAAAAATATTACTTCTATAAAAATAATTTTACAGTTTATCTTAGTAATTCTTCTAATGGAATACCTAAGGTAGACTCAATGTCATAAACAATGCAAGTTTATGCGAAGCGCTTGTACCCGTAAAAATCGCATCCCATTGATTGCTTTACACGTCACGCCATCTTTAGTTAAATGTAAGTGGTAATAATACAGGTAATATACGCTAATCACTCAACGACTGCGGACACGCCGGCGTTGCAGTTAACAATATCTTTCGTAGCAATTTAATTAATTTCTTAGAAATTTAATTAATTTCTTAGAAATTTAATTAATTTCTTAGAAATTTTATCAATGTTTCTTAGATATTTTATTAATTTCTTAGAAATTTTATTAAATTTCTTAGAAATTTTATTAAATTTCTTAGAAATTTTATTAATTTCTTAGAAATTTCATTCATCAATTTCAGTCATGGAGGGATAAATAATTTATAAAGATAGCGAATACACCCATAATCTATAAATGATTTCAATTAGCTTTAATTTATCCTTTTCGCCACCTATGATACTGTAGTGAATGTTATTGTAGAAAATGTTCGTCTAAATTTGATCAATTTTATAAAAACTGTAATAAAAGAGGCAAATATAAAAATTTTGTATGTATGTCACAGATGTATAAGTAAGCTGAATTATTTGTTTGAACGCGCTACTCGCTGGAACTACTAGTGGATATTAATTGTTGAGAAAGCTTATAAGCTATTAAACATCACACTACGACTTTTAGGATCGAAAAGCTAGTTGTCTATTACTAATATTATAAAGAGGAAAGATTGGATTTTTTGTTTATTTGTTTGTATTGAATAGGCTCCGAAACTACTGAACCGATTTAGATGAAATTTGATGATATTTATATCGCAATAAATATACACATATCTATACAATTAATAAAATGATGCAGTTCCATTACATACAAGTTTTGACACACGACTTCACCCACGTAAAACGATCGAATCTGATCTTTCAACACTTTTGAGTAGAGATCAGCTATACATATGTATGTAGTATAAAACAAAGTTTCTCCGCTTATTTCATCTAAACCACGCAACGAATTTCGCTAATAGAAAGAGCGATAAACGAGGGAGATTTGTGTTTATTGATGAATTCAAAACTAAAATTAGACATATAATATAAAATGCATTACCGGGATTAAATAATCCTGAGCTAGCCAGAAAAATAATTTATAATACGTTGAATAGCTATTATACGGATCGACTAACTTTGCTTGGCTTGAAGGCATAGGTATAACTAGTTTGAAAGATACGACTTAAAAGTCTAAGTTCATATCCATACTAATATAATGAGAATGGAACTTTATTTGTGTGAATGTAACCTTTCGAAGCTTAAACTGCTGAACAAATATTGATGAAATTTAGCAAGGACATAAATTGCACCAATTGCTTCATCCCGCCCGCTTACTCTATGAGTGGACCCACGTGTACAACTATTTCCATATGAAAAGGGTTCTTTAGAAATAGTTTCAACAAAATATTAGTCGGTCACTATTAGGTATATTCTACAGAATTTACGTTAAATAGAAATTGTATTCAGTACATTTAAACAATGGCTATTCTCATACCTATCACGAATTTCCCTGCGGCTAAATTGAAATGAACAATGAAAATATTAAAGTGTGACTTAGCTAAATTCATAATAAAATATTTCTCATACGTTTTATTTTCTCATTTCCACTCTATCTTGCAATATTAAGTTTCTAAATAGCAGTTTTGCTCTATTTTCTTAACGGAATAAACTCTAAGCGCTTACTGCATTCACTTCGTGCTTCGCTTTCCGCAGATGGTGATATAATAAATTGACATTTGACGACACGTTTGGCTCAGTTTGTAGTGACCCTACTTGCTGTGCCAGCGGTCGCGGGTTCGAGTCCCGCTGGAGGCATTCATTTGTGTGATGACGAATGTTTGTACTCCAGTCATGGATGCTTATATGTACAATATGTATGTATTTAAAGTTATATATGTGTAGTGTATCAACTATCTGGTATCCATAACAGAGGTCTCGAAGCTTACCATGGAACTAGATGGTGCTGTGTGTTGATATCCCAACATATTTATTTATTTTATTATATACTTATTTATCGCCATTTGTCAAAACCAAAAGGGTTAATACTAAAAATATACAATTGCCTAGAAACGTCTGAGAATTTATTGGGGAAATTAGTCATAATCAAATATATATTTTTTAACTACCGTGATAACGTTTATTATTTACTTTTTCCTTCTAAATTCTACGGTAATTTTAATTTATCCGCTATATATTCCTAAAAATATTAAAGAATCATTATTACTAGATAAAATTAAAAAATCTATATAATGCCTAATCATTTTATGTTTGCTAGCAGCGATATTCATAATTGTTATTTGCAATAAAATGTCACTTTAGACTATAAAAATGTTAATTTTTTTTATTAACTTCTAGATTTATTTAGGTTATCAGTGATTATCGGATTTATTGTATTTTTGTACAACAGATTTATATGATAGCTTAGTATATATCTGGTATTAGATTAATCATAATCACAACATATTTATGTTATGTTATCAGTTTTTTTTTTTTATATATAATTTATCTTCTATACGTTTAAAGTTGTTTAAATTGGTAGATTCAATGCTTAGTCAGACCTGAAAGGGCTTATTTGACAATTTATTCCTGTGACATAGCTAAAACCGCCAAGAAAGGCTATTTTTACAACAATACAACCCTTCAAAAGGGTGAAAGCGTCACAAAGTTTGAAGAGACTTATTATTAAAATTAATGAAACACATTATTCAGAATTGAACATTCTAGCCCATGGGTTATTAAATTAAATTAAATAGTACGCATCGGACTCAAGAGAACAATACTTGCACATCAACCTTACTAAGCTTATAAAATAAATCTTATACGTTGTTACAAGCTTTTATTTTATTTTTATTACTTAGTTTCACCTGCCCGGGTCTGTGTAATGGAATTTTACAAGTAAAATTTGACTCACTGAACAGTGTCCGATTGAGCTGAAATTTGGAACACTAGTGTGGTTCCCGATACAATAACTATTACATAATTGCCGCCATTTTTAATTAGACGGAAGTTACAAAATGGCGATTTATCATTTCCATAGTGACCCTTATGATAAGGGCATCAAATGAAAGGGCTTGATGATCGAAGCACAATAAGCAACGTGATGTAATAGAAAACCCCATATAGCGGCCGCCGCAAAATTGCGATTTATAATTTGCACATTAACCCCTATGATATTAGTATCAAATGAAAGAGCTTGATAAGCGAAATACAATAAGTGAAATAAAGTCATTGTAAATTTAATATGGCGGATGTCTCAAAATACCGATTTATCATAACAAACTTTTATTTAGTTTCACCTGTCCCAATGTCTGTCTGTCTGTAATCAAATCTTGCAAGTTAAATTTGGCTAAACTTCGTTCTGAATCCATTTTGGCGGACTCCCAAAGATGGCGGACTATATTTTTTATGTACTCCCATAATATGGATATTATATAAAAAAGTTTGCTGAGAAGAATACGAATAAAATGAAAACTAAAAAATAAATTAATAGTAAAAAAACATTTTAAAAAACAAGCTTTTATTTAGATGCTTTAAGAATAAGTGAATAAACTTTAAATTAAATAAAAGCAAGCAAAGCAAGCTTGTCACGAGTTTACTTATTTGAAATATTATATTATTGTTTATTTACACAGGTATTATATTGATATAGTGCCCAACTAAGAACAAAAAGAATATCATAAATTCCGGTACAAAAATCGACTATTATATTATTTTGCATATTATTATATATATTATATTTTTACCTTATTTATATTGTAAGTTATCCGCTTTAATAACATATAATCTGTAAAAGATTCATTTGGCTAATTTAAACAAAAACAGAAGCTTAGTCCTTGTAATTGGGATTTGGATCCCAATTAACTTATCTGGTACAGAGCGTAAAAAAGATTAATTAAGGCAAAATAGATCATGTTTTTAATATAATTATATTGGCTATTTACTGAGCATGAAATATTTTTCTTACTCGTTAATTTATTTTCGTACGTCATACGTACGTAATGGTGAAAGAAAACATCGTGAGGAAACCTGCATGTCCGAGAGAACCTAGCAAGTTTTCAAAAGATATGTGAAGACCGCCGGCCCTTACTGACTGGCCTGATCCCCCTCGTACTGAAGGGAGACCCGTGCCCAGCAGTGGGACGTTACAAATGGTAGAATACGTACATCCCCCACTTGTATGTTGCCGAGATTGTTTTAGATCGCATACTAAACATGTGGACTGATTCATGTACATATCTATATGAATAATCAAAATACACAAAACTCATGCTTGTATCTTTTAATCTATCTCGGCTAGTTCAAATGAAATTTGTAATATGAGCATGAACTATATTAAACTAAAACGTTATCGCAAAAAGAGACTTTATTTTAAAATTATACAGTAAAATAACTATTTTTTTTTTTTTTTTTTTAAGTTTTCCTAAATTCTTGCTTTTTTTTAAATAATTTATTAAAAGATAAACATAACGTACACATTTTCATATCATTTCTAATAGTTCTGATTATAAAAATACTAATTAATTTACTCACTGTCGATCTAATCAGAGAATCCAGTGACTGTCCCTTGAAGAGGATATACTCGTAGGGTCAAAGATAAAGTAAGCTACATCTATTATTTATGCACTATCTAATTTCCACAGTTTTTTGAGTGGATCTCGTTTTGTACACTTCATTATGTATTAAGTTTAAAGAATTTTTTATTCTCAAAAAAGACTAAAGACTTAAGAGTTTTAAATACATTTTTGATTACTTTCTTGTTTGATGTAAAACAAGTTCTAAAGCTATAAAAAATATTTGTATTCAGCCCTTTTTAACGTCCCACTGCTGGGCACGGGCCTCCCTTCAATACGAGGGGGATCAGGCCATAGTCCACCACGCTGGCCAAGTGCGGGTTGGCGGATTTCACATGTCTTTCGAAAACTTGCTAGGTTCTCTCAGACATTCAGGTTTCCTCACGATGTTTTCCTTCACCGTAAGGCAAGTGGTAATCATAAATAAAAAATATAGTCATAAATAAATATTAATTATATTTAACTAAATATTTTTAAGATTAAAATACGTATATATGTATGTACATACATATATACATAATTATTTTTTAAGATTTAGGTAAAACAAGTTGTGAATGATTTTTTATTTTAACCCAACTAGGCCACATTTAGGTTTTTGAAACTTGTACTCTTTCCTGTGTTTCCTTTGATAATTCGTTTCGGCTTCTAACTTGGCACGCATGTCTTAAATTAACTTCTTTAACATGACCTCCTGTTATAATAAGATACTTAGCACAAAGGTACTTTAGCTAATGCAGTAAAAAACGAACCTTGTGGTATTTTCTTAGAATTATTTTCTTTTTTACCTTAATTATGTACTCCTGGAACTCTCAATTTCCCCAAGACTTTCTTTTGAAAATTAACACTAAGAAAAGTTATTATTATGTTATTTAAATAATCTGCTAAATATAAATTAATCAATAGATGTCTATTAGTAAATAAATGATTAAAATTAATTCAATAGTTTGAGAGTTTATCGTCCAAAACTAAACAAACAAAACAGAAGTATAGACGTACTATAAATGTTATTGTTAAAACAAAAAGTGCAATATTACTAAATCATTAAAGGAAGAAAATTTGTGGCACTGGCATTGTCAATCACCACCATTGGTATATAGAGTAGGAGTATACTAATGTATAAAATCTAAGAATTTGGTTTTTGGTCATCTGAACGCGGGCAGAGCCGCGGGCAATGGTAGTAGTTTCTATAGGTAAGCAATTATAGAATTTCACATTATCTAAAAACGCCACTTATATAAGATTTAAAGTAATATACTTCTTAAACCACTTTGAACATAATACATCAGTCTATTATGTCGGCAATGATTTTCACTTAAGTGTGATATGACAAAACGTTTCCGATACACAAAGGGTATTTGTCATGTTATTAACGTTCAGTAATTACAATTCCAGCCTAAGAATAAATAGCTTTTGAGAAATGGTGTAATTTTACTTATGTTTTTGATGTATTACATGTTTCCTATCGCTTACCTGCAATCTGTGGAAGTGATTTCGTGAAAAGGGACGGAAGTGTGTAACATGAAGCCGGAGGGGGGGGGACACCCCCATGATGATGTTCTAGCCGATTCCAGCCACGGCGGCCAATCTCATTGAGACTAGCCAACTGCGCAGGAGATATTATAATGGTCAAGAGTACGCGCAGACACAAGTGCACTTCTATTCCTATCACTCTCATACTCCGGTGGGACGACTGTTCGACACGACCGGTGAGAGTTAAGGCGCAGGACCGACGGCTTTACGTGCTTTCCGAGGCACGGGGGTGAAGCACCGCGAACTTCCCAACTCTTCATGCTAGCCACTACACCACCGACGCAGTTATCCAGGCAGGTACCCCCCATGATATATATATGGAAAGATCTTGATGAGAGAAACACAATAAGCAAAGTGACGTCATTGTATATCCAATATGGCGGACTCCCAAAGATAGCGGACAATTTTTTTTATGCACCCCTTTGATATGGATATCAAATGAAAGGATTTGCTGCGAAGAATACGAAAAAAAAGTAAAAAATATTAATAAAACGATTAAATATTTAAAAAAAAACAAGCTTTTATTTAAATATCAATCAAAAAAGAAAGTTTAACGGGAATTCATATTTATAATTGCAAAAATCATCTAATTTTCTTCACCTTCAGTTTAACACAACTAATTGGTTGAAAAAACTTTTTAAAACTTCATAAAAATTCATAGCACGTTTACACTTGTATGTATTTCTTTGAATATTTAAATGGAAATCTGTTAAATAGAATTTTACTAGTCGAACGAGATTGAATCTTTTTAAATTTGTATTTACGTACATAAGTGCAATATATATTGTGTTTATAATAATTTTTCTCCTGGCCGATTTCTGCTACGGCGACTATTCTGCTCCATAGCAGAGCTTCGTTCGTGAACTAATGTATCCTATCTATGT